AAGGCGAGGGAGGCCGAGGACGAGGCGTCGCGGGCCAGCCCGGTGCGGGTTTTCGTCCCGCAGCAGGGAGACCAGTGGGTGCTCCTCAAGGGGGGCCCGTTCGAAGCTGGAGAGGTCAAGGCAAGGCTGTGAGGGTCTCTGAGACACTATCCGGGGGCTTCTTCGACGCAGACCAGCTGTACCTCTTCGAGTACACAGAGGATGATGATTCTGCAGGAGCACATGGGCCACCCCTCGACGACGAGGAGGCGGTGCGCCCCGGCGAGAAGTTGCTGCTGCGGGCCACGCTGAAGCCGCCGAAGGAATGGACCAGTTGGAGCCCCCGGTGGAACCGAGACCAACAACCAGCACCTGGTGCTGCATCCCAGGAGGGTCAGCGGAGAGTCACGGCCAGGATCGCCGACAGGGCAGCCGCAGCAGCAGCAGCAGCGGGGCCGAGCGGGGCCGCAGCGAGCTCAGCAGCCAGCAGTGGCCGCCAACCAGCCCCAACGTTCAGCGAGGTGGCTGCAGCAGCGGGTGGCATCCGAGCAAGCTCAGTCCCTCCGTCCAGCGGGGGTACCTCGAGGAGCTCAGGTGCCGTAGTGCGAGTGGAGGAACAGCTCGCCGAAGCTCAAGGGCAGCATGCTCGAGCAGCGAGCGAGGGCGGCGACCAGGAGCTGAGCGCTGCGCGCGTAGTAGGGCAGCTGGAGATCAGGCGCAACGAGGTCCAGGCCCGCCGCGCTGCCCGGCTCGAGCGCGGGGCGCGCCGGCGGGAGCGCGAAGACCAGAGGGCCACCAGCGCACCCCCAGAGCCCCACAGCCTGCAGGCGCCCCCGGAGGCCCCCCCTCCGCCTGAGGCGGAGGAAGACCCAGAGACCACCTCAGAGGAGATGGGACGCCGGGTTGCCGAGGCACACCCGGGCGTAGCCTGCCGCGGGGGGGTCCACAAGTGCAACGCCGCTCGGCGATTCGTCAAGAACTTCAACGACGTGCGGAGGGGTGGCAAGAGCTACGACCTTCAGCATGCGGACATCCTGTACCTGAACGGGATCGGGCAGATCAGCGACGTGCTGATGCAGAAATACCCCGGGGCAGACCCGACGGACCCGTCCCTGCCGCCAGAGCGTCGCCAGCTCGGCGAGATCCTGGCGCGCTACGTGGAGGAGCACGAGACGTTGAAGGTCAAGATGAAGAGCCTCGGCATCCCGCGAGACGAGCAGGCCGGGGGTGGGGTCCTGGACCCCATCTACGTCGCGACCGAGAGGACTTACATCGAGGAGTACGAGGGTCGAGACGTTCCTAGCGCCCGCAGCCGCAGCCGCAGGAGAAGTGGGGGAGCAGCCCCCTCTGGGGGAGCGAGGCCCTCCAGAGGCGCGCCCGGCGACTCGGAGTCATCTGCATCCGAGACGATGGCCCCTGACACCCGAGGCCGGCTGCGAGCGAGGTCGCCCCCAGATGAGAGCCGAAGGCGCAGCTCCGCCCCCGACCCGAGGGACCCAGGGCGCAGGTGCGGAGGCCCCGAGGTGCCGCTGGCGGATGCCAGCCAAGGCGTGCACCACGGGAGCCGAGTAGAGGCATGCCAGGACGAGCGTCGAACGCCGCCGGCAACGCCTCATCCTGGAGCCCCGGAGGCCAAGGAGTACTTGCGCTGGTGCCTGGAGCATGCTGAGTTTGCCCCTGAGCTGGTAAAGGAAGTGACGGGCCTGGGGAATCGCCTGCTCCTCGCCGCGGGGAGCGTGGAGGCTGCCGCAGCGAGGCTCCGCGAGGAGCGGGAGCTCGTCCTCGGGAATCCTCTCGGGGGCGTACTCGATCCCAAGTTCGGCGAAGCTCTGGAGGAGGACCACCGGCGGTACCTCCAGGAGATGGCGAGCAGGGGCGTCCCCGTTCGGAGGCAGCAGCCCAGGCGTCGTACTATAGCCAAGCCCCACGCTTCCGCGAGGGACCATGCCCTGGAGATGTGCGCCAAGGCCTGGAAGGACACGTCCTACGGCGCCGTGCTCTGGGCCACCCCGGAGGCCGAGGCCGCCTTGTCCGCCTCAGAGCTCATCGAGAGCCCGTCGGGGCGAGTGCCTAAGATGTTGCCCGACCGCACGGTGAGCAGCGAAGGGCGCCCCATACACGATATGCGGGTTGCCAATGGGGACTCGCCCAAGGAGCTGCATCCGCCGGCGCTCCAGCCCAAGCACGAAGCCCTTGTGCGCCTGTCACTCTGGTGGTCCGCGCGCCACCCGGGTGTGCCACAGGTAATAGCCAAGCGGGACGTGTCGCGGGCTTTCAAGTGGCACTGGGTGCGCGACGAGGACGTGGCCGAGTTCGGCACCTCCCTCCCGGGCGACGCTGTGGGCCTGACCACGCGCGTGATCATGATCCACTGCGTGATGGTCTTCGGGTGGTCGGGGTCGCCAGGCGAGTACATGGCGTTCGCCTGGAGTGCCAAGTGGGACCACGAGCGGCGCCGCCCACCGGACCCAGCGGTCAACGACACAGTGCGCTGGTCGTCCAAGTGGCTGATGGACGACGGCGTCTTGGTCGAGCCACTGGTCGGCCTCAGGCCCTGGCTCAGCGCAGCCGACTGCGACGCGAGCATGCGGCGCGTCTGGGGCGGCGACGCGATCAACGTCGACAAGATGGCGGAAGAGGGCACCTTCCAGGCAGAACAGCTGGTCTGGGGCCTCTACCTGGACGTGGACAAGCAGCGCTCGAGGCTCCCAGAGCCCAAGTGCGTGAAAGCCGCCCACCTCCTGGCGATCGACGAGCTTCGCTACGGATGCCGCCGAGTCCCCATTAAAGTCGTCCAGGAGCTGAGGGGGTCGGCCCAGTTCTGGGTGGCCACGCAGCCGGCTATCAAGCCCGAGCTGCCGGTCATCGACCGCCTCCTCGGCGGTGGGCTCGGAGCGGCATGGGCGGAACCCCGAGGGAGCGCCGAGGAGATCGCCCTTGCCTGGGACGAGTGGGATCAGACCCTCGAGCTGCTGCGGGTGCTCTTCGACGCACCCGAGGCCTGGGCGTCCACCTTCGAGTCGAGCTTCATTTCCTGTCTAGGGCCGCGCGAGCGCCTGGCACTCCCAGGAGCCGCCGCCCGGACAAGATGGACTGGAGGCGACGCAACCACGACGACCATCGGCAGCATCGACTGGGGGCGAGCAGTGGCCGGCAGTAAAGCGGTGCCACCCCACTAAATGGCCGTAGACGCCGCCCCGCTCCTCCGCCAGTTGGAGGACGTGCTGAGCCACCCAGGGGCCGAGAAGGACTGGGCGATAGCCATCGTGGAGCTGCTTGCATGTTTGGCCCTAGCTGCCGCGAGGGGTAGCGGGTGGCAAGGCGAGCTGGTCTTTTACGTCACCGACAACATGAACGTGCGGTCGTGGATTTCCAAGAGGCGGCCCAAGCACCCGCTTGCACGGCATCTCATTCGCCTCGTTCAGCGCCTGGAGGCTTGCCACGGGTTCAACACGACCGCACTGCACATCCGCACCTACCACAACGACATCGCGGACTGGCTGTCGCGAGAAGAGGCCAAGAAGATCCACTCCGAGCTCCTGCGCAAGGGGTGGACCCGCATCGAGCCGCCCGAGGAGTGGGGGAAGATGCTGGCCGAGGCAAAGGAGCACCTCTTGCGGTTGCCTGGAGAGGACGGGCCCATTGCGGAGTCAGCACTCCGGCATCGGGCGCTGAGGACCCCAGCAGCAGTGCCACGCAGCCTCGCCCTCGCAGGGCGCCGGGGCCTCGAGCTGGGGAGCCCACTGGGGACCTACGGGCGCGCCTGGGAGCAGCTCGGCGGTGAACTGACCGCGGGCGAACCCACAGGGGTGGACTGGATCATGTGCACGCTGTCCCTGGACCCGAAGGGCTTTGAAGTCGAGAAGTTGGCATCCTCCATCACTCGGGCGAGGCCGCAGGTCGTCGTAGTCGATGCCCCCGGCAAGCTCGACCTGACCCGCGTTGTCAAAGTGCTGCGCAAGCTGGGGTACCGCACGTACGACCTGGAGGTCGTCTGCACCCACTACGGCGACATGACAGCTCGAGCTCGGAGCCTGATCGTGGCAGGTCGAGGGCCAGCGGGCGCCAGCCTGGCGAGCATGCGTATGCCGCCGGCGCGCCGCTGTCCCCATGGGGTGAAGCACGCGTTGAAGGATAAGCTCAGCGAAGGCCGTCACCACTGGCTCGACGACGAGGGGAGCGTCACCTGGGACCCAGCAGCTCGAGGGGGCTCCGACCCTACACTGCCCAAGGGCATCGGCCACATCAAGCTCGCCGGCACTAGGCATCTGGTCTGCTCAGTCGACGGCCCGATCGGCACGGTTCGCTGGCCCGCTGAGGGCCCGGGCGGATCGGGAGGAACCCTGATCCACGTCCCAGGACGCAGTGGCGGGCGCATCAGGGCGCTGTCACCGGAAGAGGTTTGGATCGTGCAAGGAGGCGATGAGGCGACTTGGGTGCAGCGGCGAGCCCGAGGCGACACCGAGACCACCTTGATGCGGGAAGCAGCGAGGTCCCTGCCACCAGAGACGGCGAGAGCTGTACTAGGCGCTGCCGCGGACGCGCTGTCGCAGACCACCCAGCGGGCAGGCGGCTGCCACGATCCCGCGGAGTCGGCCGCCTGGGAGACAACCCGACGGCGGCTCAGGGCCTGGGCGCGGAGCGAGCTCCGGGTGAAGGCCGACAGGCCCGAGGACGACCAACACGCTGGGGTACTGAGCGACGACGTCTACAAGGCGAGGCGCAAGAGTCAAGGCGTCCGCTTCAAGGCCATCGAGGAGGACCTCGTGCGGGGCCCCGAGCCCCCCCCCGACGCAGAGGAGGTGGACCTGAACGCAGTCGTCAACACTCCCAAGAAACGACGGAAGAGGAGCCCCAACCGGGGCAAGAAGGTGGAGACCCAGGGTTTGGTCAAGCCGGTCGCCCTGGGCCGCGCTCGTGCCTCCATCGCCCTGCAGGACCACCCGACGCTGGGAGGGGAAGACTACGGCAGGTGGATCGAGGAGCAGAAGCGCGAGGCGCTGATGCTGCGGCTGTCCGAGGGAACCCGCGCCGGTTACGAGACCGGCTGGAAGCAGTGGCAGAGTTTCAGAGCAGCCCAAGGAGAGTCGCCCTGGCTGGAGGGACGTGACCGCGAGGAGCGACACGCTAACGAGGAGGCACTGTTGGGCTTCGTCGTCGTGTTGGCTAAGGTGCTGAAGCGCACGGAGGGCACGGTCAAGCAGAAGTTGTTCGCGGTGCGCTTCGCCCGCCTCGCGGTCGGGTACCCAGACCCTCTACTCCACCGGGGCCGCCTCTGGTCCACGCTCGCCGGCCTCCGGAGAAGCCAGGGGCCGAGCGGGAGGAAGCGGCCGGTGACGCCCCGTATGCTCCTGTGGCTCCAGGGCTTCTTGAAGGACCAGACGGACCTCCCCGAGATGGACACCGCAGTCTTGTGGGCCGCCGTGGCGGTGGCCTTCTTCTTCATGTTGAGGGCGTCCGAGTACTTGATCCAGCCCGGGAAGACATGGGGCCGAGAGCGCGTTGTGCGCGGAGTGGACGTCACGGGCCGCGATGGCGACAACCAGCCTTGCACCTTCAAGGACGCGGTGGAGGTGGTGCTTCACATCACCTCCTCGAAGACCGACCAGTACAACGTGGGGTGCGTAAGGAATCAGTACGAGACGGGCACGTCACTGTGCCCCGTGGCAGCCCTCCGCCAGCTGGAGCGGCACTACCCGCAGAGGCTGCGAGGAAGCGAGGAGGAGCTCCCACTCTTCCGCTGGGCGAGCGGAGCACCTATTCGTCGCGAGGAGGTGCAGCACTATCTGACGATCGCAGGGCTTGCCGCCGGGCTGAGGAAGGAGGAGGTCGGCTCGCACAGCCTCCGCATCGGGGGCGCGACAGCGATGCGCCACGCCGTGGACGACCTGCAGCGCGTCAAGCGCTTCGGGCGCTGGGCCTCCGACAGCTTCCACGGGCATCTGCGGGAGAGCCACGAGCCAATGCGCGGCATCTCGACCAACATGGCGACGGATGTGTCTGAGCTCACGGCGCCGCCGGCCCACGTGGCCGAGGGCGCGCGCCGTGCAGGCAGGAGCCCGACCCCGCTCTGGCCCAGAGCAGCGCTGGCCGCGACGACGCTCGCCGCCACAGCTGGCAGCGCAGACGGCTACGTGCTCAAGGACAACCCGGTGGAGAGCCAGAATCTGCTGATCCTCGTGCTCCCGGTCGGCTTGGGAGCTTGGGCGATGGCAGCGGGGGTACTACTGGCAGCCATGCTGCTGAGCACTGCATGGCGGCGCGAGCAGCAGCGAAGGCGCAGAGGAGCGGCCGGCAGGCGCAGCAGCAGCTGCAGAGCCCGCATCCCCTGCGCAGGCATGCTGTGCGCAGCGCTGGTGGTGACGGCGCTCGCGACGGCAAGAAGTGACAGCAAGGCCGAGAAGTGACAGCAAGGCCGAGATACAGAGCCGAGGAGTGGCAACAGTTGACGGCAAGGCCCAAGGGGCCATGCTTCGCTGGGAGCCGCAGATGGGCACGGTGGCGATCGCTGTCCCGGCGGGGACGGCGATGAAGGTGGTGGCCACGATCGCAGTGCTGCTTGCGGCAGGCATCGGGGTGATTGGTGGCTGTTGCCGCGGGACGGCCAAGGAGAACGAGGGTAAGCAGGAGCCAACCGCGCAGCAGGCCGCCACACAGCAGACGCCCAAGGCGCGCAAGCCTCCCAAGCAGCCGCAGAGGACGTTTTGCGACGCAGGGGTGATGGGCCCAGTGCACTACAATGGTGTGAGGTACGTGCGCGAGACCCAGGGTTTCCGCCGCGCCAGCGAGGTGACGCGGGAGACGGCACCATCAGGGCACCGCGGGTCGCCAGAATGGCCCCGCGGAGCCGCACCGTGACTAGGGTGCGGGCTGCCGCCGGCCAGCGGCCGAGCGGGCAGCAGTGGACCGCCGCCGGCAACCGCCGTGCGAGCGGCCACGCGGCGCCGGCTGAGTTCAGCCTGGCGCTCGCATCAGCTTCGCACTTGCGAGCGAGCCGGGCGCGTGCCGCGGCCATGCTGCCCGTGGGCAGGCGCCGCGCCGGCCTGGCACCCGGCAGTGCCGCCAAGGGGGCAGCAGTGGCGGCTTCGAGGGAGCGCCGGCGGCTAGCCCAGCCAGGGCTGCCGCGCAGGGCGCGTGGGGACCACCGCCGCCGGCATACGCCGCGCGAGCGGCAGCGCGGCGGAGCTCAGCCCGGCGCCCGCGCTCAACTTTGCGCTTGCGAGCAGCTGGGCGTGGCGCGGCGGCAGCTGGCCTGCGGGCAAGGGCACTAGGGCACCGCGCCGGCCCAGCAACTGGCAGTGCCGTCATGGGGGACGGCGGTGGCGGCTACGTGGGGCGCTGGCGCGGCCAGCCCAGCCAGGGCTGCCGCCTTGAGCGCACGAGGAACCACCGCGGGCGCCGGCGGCGTGCCGCCCTGCGTCTGTGGGCCTACCTTGCTGGGCAGGCGTGACAGCGCGCCGCGGATGCCAGGACTGTTGAGTTCCACGCCGAGAGGACCGGCGGCCACGTGGCCCACTGCAGCCAGCACGGCGTGGCGGTGCTTCATGGGAGGAGGTTGGCGGCGTGGCCCGCGACGCGTGGCCAAAGACAGGCGCCGGCGCACCATGCGCCGGGCGCCAGAGGAGCAGCACGGCTCCTTGGCAAAAAGAGCTGCGCTCATCGTCATCGTCGTCTGAGCGTCATTCCTCCTATTGAGCCTCACTCCTTAGGCTCAGGTGTTTTTAGTTTGCCAGTGCTGCTTGAGGGGATATCTAGGATGTTTGGCAGAACTGATGGATCTCCCCGTTTCCAGAACTGGCGCGGGCTTCCGCTTGTGTTCCTCTTGCTCCTGCCCTTGCCTCTTTGCTTTGCCCTTTCCCGCTTCTTCCCCTCTTTCCACCGCTCGGCGGCTCTGGGGGCCTACAGGCCCCCTTCCCGCCCTGTTCTGGACTTTTTCGGCGCCGCCGAGGCGCTCGGGCACTTCGGCGGCGGCGTGGCCCGCGACGCGTAAAGACAGGCGCCGGCGCACCATGCGTCGGGCGCCAGAGGAGCAGCACGGCTCCTTGGCAAAAAGAGCGGCGCTCATCGTCATCGTCGTCTGAGCGTCATTCCTCCTCTCGAGCCTCACTCCTTAGGCTCAGGTGTTTTTAGTTTACCAGTGCTGCTTGAGGAGGTATCCCCCGCTCCGCACCGCGCAGGCCCGATGGGCGCATGTCTCTGGGGGGCGACGGCGGGGCCCGGCTGGCGCAGGCAGCGTCGACCCCCCTGACAAGCCAGGACCCTGCCCCTGCCGGGGCGCGGCCCCGCTCTGGCGGGCTTGCAGCGCGGCGCGTCCAGATTGCCGTGCCCGCGCCTGTCGCTCGCCTCGCCGGGGCAGCCAGCGCCCGACAGGCCTGCGCCTCGCCCGGGGTGCAAGGGCGCGCCGCCTGCACCGCGTGGACGCAGGAGGCGCCGGCCGCGCTGGGCCTGCGCGTCGGTTCGGAGTGCTGCATCTTAGCCCCTCTGAGCGCTCGGCGGCCTCGCCGGGTGGCGCCGCCACGGGTCCAGCCCGCCGCGTCGCTAGAGCAGCCAGCGCGTGCGCGGCCTGAGCTCTCGCCCGTGGTGCAGGGGCGCGCCACCTGCAATGCATGGACGCAGGCGACATCAGCCGCGCTGCGCGTGCGCGCCGCTTCGCAGAGTCGCCGGGCAGCGCCGCCATGGGTCCCGCCCATGTGTGCGACAGTGCGTGCGCAGTCGGACTCTGCCGGCGCCTGTTTGCCGGGTGGGGTGCGCATCCTCCCCCTCCCCGCCCTGCGCGGACGCTGCGTCGGGCAGTCGCAGGCCCTGCCGGCCAAGTGCTGCGCTGCGGCCACCGTGGCCGAGTAGGGCGCTGCTTGGTTTCTTGCTGTCCCCCCCGGGCGGGGCCCGCCAGCCTGCAACTCCCGCAGGCATCCAGGCACTGGGGTTATTCTTTCCCCAGTTCGTTCCTTCTGCAGAGGGCAGATGTTTGTTCTAGTCGACGCGCCTGTCGGCCGTTGCCATCCTGTAATGATGTCGACTGCACTTGCGCAGGATAACTTCTGCAATGGTTTCCTTAGCATTCTTGCGATATTGCAGATTCACTGAAGATGTGCGATGACTTTCTCAGCAGATTTCATGAGCACATCTAGCAAATTGCAGAGGGTGTGCTGTGTGGTGCGCAGCTGGCTGCATTTGCACTATCGACATCGTCCCTGTCCCACGCTTGCTGTTGCAGGCAGATCCCGAAAAAGGGTGCAGGCAGTCTTGCTCTTGCGTGTGCGCGCTGCGTGCGTCTTGCCCTTCGTTCTGTGTAGGCTGCAATGCCCATTCCAGGCCTAGATCGTGGTCGCCTTCCGCGCCCCCTATGGCGGCGGACGGGAGCGGCTGTCGGCAACACGCGCAGGCGCGCCGGCCTGCCCTTCCACTTGCCGTGGGCAACTGGGGCCGCGCGCCTGGCCGGGCCTTCGGCGCCCTGGCAGCGACAGAGGGCAGGCCGGCGGCCGCGGCGCTTGCAGGGGAGCCAGCCTGGCGGCTGACTGGCGGCTGATTCGGGCCTGCGCCGCCCCTCTGCTTGATGGCGCATCTGCAGCAAAACTGCGCCGGCGCCGAGGGTGACGCACCCGCCGCCCAGGCGCCCCAGGTCAGAAGCGCGCGACAGCAGCGACAGACGTCGGTGGCTGGGATGTGCCTGGGGCGGCCGGGCGCAGGCGGCGCCGACCCTCTCAGTAGCAAGGGTCCAACCGCCGGGGCGCAGCCCCGCTCCTCGGACTCGCGGCGCTGCGTAGCGAAATTGCCCCGCCCACGCCTGCCACTCGCTTCGCTAGAGCAGCCAGCGCGTGCGAGGCCCGCGCTCCCGCCCGTGGAGCAGAAGCGCGCGACCTACACCGCGCTGTTGCGCGAGACGCTGGCTGCGCTGCGCGTGCGCGCCGCTTCGCGGCGTCCCCGGGCAGCGCCGCCATGCGCCCCGCCCAGCGACAGGGGGCGCGAAGTCAG